AAACTCTGTACTGTCTCCAAGGACGCTAGGGTTTGAGGCGATCAGTATATTAGCGTGGGCATCTGTCTTGCGGGAACCGGAGGACGAACTGTTATTTCGATATGAAGCGGTGCGGTAAGGTTCTTTATGAGTTGGCACGGAACATGGTCCTCTTGGCGGACAGAACAATAACCGTATGAATACATCATGCATTTAAACGACTGTGCCATATCGGGGATCACAACATATCGCCCAGGCACAGAGAGAGCGTGGATATCCCTACTTCCCCAATGTAAGCAATATCGATGCTGACTCACCCAGAAGGTAAAATTGATGCTTACATAACAAAAAGTTAACGGCTACAAATCTCAATATCATCATCTGTCACAACATCCCATATTCAACATCATCATGAACGCTACACAGGGATGTCGAAGGGGACTGGAAGCATATCTCCTCGCTGGCCGTTGGAGACATGGACGGCGAAGGCGCGTAGGACTGCCTCCGCGCCTTCTTCTCTGGTGTGCGCACCAGGCGGTCCACAAGGTCCTGGTTCCCCAGGCGCTTGAGCGTGGCAACGTCGCGCGGAGCAACTCCCTTCGCGCTGGCAAGCCTGGTGTACGCAGAGGACGCCATCCGCATGAACCTGCGGCGAGTCCTGTCGTCCCACGAGACGCGGCCGTCGCTGGTTGTATCATTCACCAGACCGATGAACGGCTCCTGAATACGTTCGGCAGTAACCTCGTCCACCTCGTCATCCCATGTCGCATATTCCATTGCTGCCAGCTCGCAGTCGGGGAGGTCCAACTTGTCCAGCTTCCTCTGCAGGCCCATGAGGCTAGCAACGAGTTGCTCCACAACCTCGACATGCATGTCGCTATTGATCACGTGAAGCTGAGACAGCCACTCGTCCGGGCCGCACCCGGTGCGCCAAAACGTTAGCTGTATGTGAGATGTCGCCACTCCCCAAAGCGCTTCGTACGTCCACTGCAATGTCTTCGCGGCCGAAGGAGAGTTACTACTCCACATCCATGCTGGAGGCACGCGCGTCATGAAGCGCGTCTGGTCGTCCACCCACATCGAACGGAATTCAGACTTGAAGAACGCGACAATGCCCTGCACCACTGGGTTCCCCACGTCCGGAACAGACTCGTGGAGTTGCACAATGCGAGTATGGGTTAGGTGGTGCACCATGAACGGCCCATTCGTCTGCAGCTTGCCCTCTCCCCAAGTGAGCCTGTGCCTACGCGAGGACACAAGGACGACGATGTGACGGTCCTCGGCCAATCTCGCTGCGTTGAGTCCAAGCATGAACTGTGTGAACAGCTGCACAGAACAACAAAGAGTACCTCAGGAGACATATATTAGAAACCAACTACAAGAGTCCATATGTCGGAGACATATTTAATAGTCATATACCCGTGCATTACCTCGGGGGTTCTGCGGCCGGACCGAGTACGGCGGATGTACGCCCGCTCGTCGCCATTCACATCCGAGCCCAGTCGCATTGGCTCTCGATCGCGGCTCACAACAATGGGCCTGAAGCGTTGAACGCCGTCGGCGGAATAGAGCAGGCCGACAGACAGCCTCTTTAGCTCTGTTACAACGCGCCCGTCGAACGGATGCAGGTACGGCTGCAGCGCAGGGCAGAGAGAAAGTTCTACAAAGATGTAGACGTCACTGGGAGGTGCGCCCAGCCGCGTCAATAGACCCTTTAGAGCCGCCATGGCAGTAAAATAGCGTCAGAGGCCCCGAGCGGCATATGATATACCCGTTAGCGTTGGCTGGTACAGGGTCCAATGCCTCTACTCTTTGACAAGAGGTGAGTCGAGGTTCTGTACGCAACAGCGCAAGCGCTCCACAGGTTTTTGTTAGCTGCCCAGGGTGGATTGGCCACAGAAACACAGGATTGCGCAACGACGTGGATACGTCTTATAGGACATACGATCTGTCCGCGCTAGTGACCATATGTTCTTGCCCGGAAAGCTCATCCGTTAGTGACCTCTACGTCCCCTGTATAGGGGTGCCTCGCATCTGGGTGCATTCATGAGTATGTCGGGAAACAAGAGTAAACCCAGTAGATTGCGCTGTTGCGTACAGTGCCTCTGTTTCCGCATGGGGCTCGTGGCTGCCCGGCGCCAAGGAGGAGCCTGCGCCGATTGACGCGCTGACAGATCTATTGACCTCACCATCGTCATCGAAATTCAAGACGGTGTCTCTGTATAACCACATGGGCGTGGGCTGTCAGGTGAACGCGCATGACGCCGTGGCGCTCGCCGACAAGAAATGCCTAAACGATGCGGTCGTCGACTTCCACAACATGTACGGTTTTTTTTGGACGGCACTCCTACATGTTGGCATGCCACGTCACGACTAGGCAGATTTTAACTGAGACTAATTCGTCGTGCGTTGTTCCTCCACACCTTTGCAGCCTCCTGAACATCAGGTACCCGAGATGCCCGAACGGGAAATCATGGGTGGTCCTGGACAGCAAGGCGTTTACGTATGCACAGCTTCACCACAAGCCGATCGGGAGATGCACGGGCCCATCCGTCTTCGAGTACGACTACATCGCCGTCCCCGTTTTTGCCGGGTACGTTTGTCTTTCACCCGGCAGTTTAATACGTCCATATGACGGCCCCGCCTAACCATGTATAGTGGATCGTGCAGGAACCACTATTCTTTGATGGTCGTGACCAACCCGAGCGGAATTGTAGCCCCGACTGCCGCTCCGGTCGAATTCATTCATTTCGACAGTGAGGGCCTCCACACCAAGACGACAGATGCCTTCGACGGGACTAAAGCGTGGGTTGCGTTAAACACCAGGGTGCAACACGTGCATTGGTACTCTTCTTGTAGCGGAATATGACCGGGTGGCCATGTGCTCTTGCAGGTTACTGCACCTCATGTGCCAACGCGATCATCCGGAGGTGGACCCAGAGGCGGCTAGGCAGGCGCTTATCAAAGCCACAACGTTGACCATGGAGGTGAGTCCCTGGATCGACGTTTCGGCTCCAGCTGTTCCAACTTGGTGCTATTACAATACCTTATTCTGATGACTTCGATCTTCGTGACTGATGTGTGCGCAGGGTCACCAGATCCCCAAACAACCTAACAGCTGGGATTGCGGGGTGTACATGTGCCAGTATCTCGAAGCTCTGGTAACATCTGGGTTCATAACCGTGCGTGAGTACATATCGTTTAAGGGAGTGAGCGCGGAGAGGTACCGCCACAAGATGCGTGCAGACCTTTGTTCTCATGCAGAGGGAACGCTGATACCCGAGCTGCAGCGCCAGGGTCTCCGCATCCCTCTGCAGCCCGTTCCCGTTATCAACGACAACGGGTACATGTGCGTCGACCCACCTGTGGACGTTCGAAGGGAGCTACTCGACCACAAACAGAAGTTCGCTGTGCTAGAGCATGACATACAGGTTCTTACGGCCAAGATCGAGTTTCTGGCCATCAGCAAAGGCGTGACGTCGGACGAGTTGGACGCGGGAGCGCGCCAACACCTCGGTGCCGTGGCCGAGACGGTGGTGGCGACGGCGACTCCACGGAAGCAGGCCGCGGAGGGAAGTGGCCAGATAGAAGGCGCGAGGACTCATCAGCCGCGTACACTGGCGGCAGTGCCTGCAATCTCTCCCTGCCCTGCACCGCGCACACCTGTCTCGCTGAAAGATGGCCATGTAGCTGCTGGCGTAGCGACACCTGCTGTGGTCCGGCAACAGGAGCGCGGCCAGCTTGCACTGGCCCTGCGCAGCCGCGCCTCGACTCCCGTGCCTGCCGCGGCAGGTAACCCCGGAAGGGTTGCAAGCAGCGGACGGACGGGAGTCATGTGGAACGCAGCGAAGCAGAGGTACTACGTGCGGATCATATCTGCTCGCCGGCAGCAGGTACGTCTGGGGTCGTACGAGGACAAGGACGAGGCATCTTACGCGTATGCTGCGGGGGCCGTTGTCCTTCGCCCTAACTCCCGCATCAGCTGCACGGTGCAGCTGTCCGACGGGGAGAGGCAGGCGCTAGCCGGCTGCACCGAGGAGAGTCTAAGGCTTCTCGTGAAGTACAGGCGCTGGAACAGATGGAGGGAGTGGAGAGTCGCCATGGAGGGTCTGGATGATGCCCAGGCGACCGAGGCCCGTTCGCGGCGAAAGGGCAGAGTCACCCGGGTCATGCATGACGTTGAGGAGGTGGAGGCGACCACGCCCGCAACAGAGGACCAGCCTATGGCTCTTGAGCCTGAGGACCCCCCAGAGGATTACACAGATGACGAGGCGTCTGTTGACGATGATGATGTGTACGAACCAGCGGGCGATGACATGGAGGACGAGGATGACTGGGAGGAGGTCAACAAGGAGGACACTGCTGCATGAAGGGTTGTTTAGGGAAGCCACTGGACCAATACTTGTTTAGGGATTGGCCTGATGACCTTGTCTGGGCTGAGTACGGGTGCATGCTAGATTGGCGTGGTTTGGAAGTTGCTGAATGTAATTGAACGTTAAAAAAGTGGCGTTGTTACATACGCTGTACATATATGTCGCTATGCCGTATACGGGGACGTTGAAATGTCGTTGTTACATACGCTGTAAATATATGTCGCTTTGCCGTATACGGGGACACATGTAGCATTACCTTGTAATTGAATTTATGTTGTCGAACGCATATGTCGCAAGTGTTGAAATGATGCTGTGGGGTTGTGGTGTGTCGCGTCTAACATAGACGAGGACGAGCACAGAGTGCCACGATTGTGCCACCACGTCATTTTTCAGGTGCAAAGTGTGGCCGACATTGAACGGTAATCCACATGGCCACTCCAACCGTGACATGTGTTCATGTGTGCGCGTGGACAATTCCCCTAGGCCAAAGTATGTGGCCTGCAAACCCACTAGCAGTCATCGCGATATCATCGAGGGCGGTGATGGGGCTAGTGCGATAGTTAGTAGAATCCCAAGCGGGTTTCCAACTACGCCATTTCGAGCCCGCGGTGTAGGTGGTCTTTGATTCTGTCTCCGCTGGAGGTCGAGATGAATCCTGACCCAGAGGGCGGTTGTTCCAAGCGGAAGAAGAATGCCCCACCATGGTTGGCGGAAGCATACCAATACGATAAGAGGAAGAAGAAAGGGGGACGCGTACAGGAGCCCAAGCGGCGCAAGACCAGCACTGTGAAGAGTGGCAAGGAGGATAAGGAGGCGGAACACAACGAAGGTAACACTTGGGCTGCTCGCCAATTATATTGCCCTTGATGTTGACGTGACAATGCCTGACACTGGTGAGTGAGGCCGTATGTGCACCCAAACCTAACACCGTGCTAGATTCCACACCCACTGTCCCAGAGACCCAAGAATTGCCGCTGCAGATATGCAACGCGCTTGTTGTCGGGGCCGTGGACGCGGAGGCAGCCTCAACGCCTATTGTCGGGAGCGCACCCCCTGTGGAGGACGACACCGAGGCCGTGAAGGAACGCCTGATGGACGAGTTAATGGAAGGCGAAGAGGAGGGCGACGAGGAGGGTGACGCTGGTGGTCAGTCGTCAGGCGACGACCCGTGTGGCGAAGAGGGATCGGAGGAAGAGCAGGCCCCGAAGGTGGCATGTTCGAGGAAGCGGAAAGAAGCAACCGGTGGCCACGTCACACGCGAGGAGTTTGAGGAGTTGCGTGAGTCACAGAATGGTACCGCGAAGACAATGGCTCGGCTCGAGTCACACGTTTTAACTCTCATTCGCCTTGGCGAAAGGCGCAAGCGCAAGCGGGCCTCTTCTGGTGCGGCAGCCTCGCTTGGCAGGGAAGCTCTGAAGCGGAAACGGGTGTCAGATGATGACGAGGAATCAACGTGCGATGAAGACGAGTTGCCGTCGAAAGTGGCGAGGCATATGACTACCGACAAGTTGCCAGTGCTCCAAAGCGCCCTTGATATCCTTCCCGCAGAGAAGGCTTGGAAGGTGAGGCTTCGCATAGTGTGTTCTGGTAACCGCATGGGAGGGTACTCGACAGCAATAAAGATGTCGTCACCGTATTCCACCCCCCCGCAACACTATTTTCTATGCTGCAGGGTGTTTGCGACCTGGTAAAGGATCATCTGTTTCTAGAAGCCCCGAACGAGAATATGGACTTCTATCCGAGCCGCGACGCCAAGAACGCCGGCGTCTGCCATGTCATGTCCACCATTCCTCCCAAAACTGCGACACTGGCGTTAGACGCGGATAAGTCTCGGAGACAGGATCTGAACAAGACCTTGTCAGAGTACAAAACAGGTTTGGCCAGTCGCGCACGGGGAGTTTTTCTTCCCCGGATGGGTCTCTTCCGTGACGACGAGGACCGAGCCAGTCCTTGGGCTCGTAAGAAGGAGCGCACTGGGGAGCGTGCACGAAAAAGATATGGCGTTCCCGCCACGGACGATGGTGCGTGTACGCATGTCATATGGCCGGTGCATTTAAGGCCGGCATGAGTTTCATGCCATAGTGGACCACTGCCGCCATTTAACCCTCTCCGACCCCCTTGCGCGGCATTATTGTACCCATCTTTTATTCCACGTGCGCAGCGGAACAGGCCTTATGCAATTGGCACATCAGCAAGGAAGGACTGCCCTTTGCTTCCAGAGCGTTCTCGGCATGTGCCATCGCGGCGTTCGGAGGGAAGCGGTCCGACAAAGAAACAACTCTGAAGCTGTACCACATGTCGTGGCTCGAGCACCTGGTACGTTTACACAGTTGCGCACATTTGATGTCGCCCACGTCCCCTGTATTCTCCTTGTTAAGAGGGTTTTTTTTGCCGTATCAGATCACGGACGCCATTATCAACTGGGAGACTCGCAAGGGGAAACTCCACAACTCACCGTGCGATAACGGCGCTTCTGTGCGCCGGATTCAGAAGCTGGCCTTTGATGCAATTGCAGATGCCGTGTGCGGGAACGAGGTGGCCTACGATGAGGAAAAGAAGTCCTGGAAGTGGGCAGGCATGGGCTCCGTCTATCATCTTGCGGCATGGAATGCCTCCTGGAAGACGAAGCATCCTCCGAAGACGATCATCAGGAGTCCGATGAGTCTGATGAGTAAGAGAGTGAATCCGATGCGTGACCTGCGTAGGGTTGTTTGGCAAATTGTGTGTCGTAGACTGGTGTAGTTTCTTAGTCAGAGGATGCTACACTTGGGCGATCAGTGCATATGTGCGATGAAACAATTACATATAAGTTGGATTTTCACCAGACATAAGGGAGACCATGCTCAACATAGACACGAGAGTGGTTTTACCAAGGATCCGGGCATCACGGCGACAATTGCGGCGCCTTTCGCGGCGACATATACGGCGAGGTTAATAGGAGCCGTCAGATGCAATGACAGATTTAGACGTGGAGAAAGACCAACCGTACATCCCGCCGAGCCGCTCGTCAACGATACGTTTCTTACTGGGTGCCGGCACCAGTGTCCAATGCATGTTGGCCACCTGGGTGATGCAGATGGTGACATGTAAGTTATCGTGGGATCCGAGACGATTACACGTGTTTGTGCGATTGGTAGCTGTAGTCCTAGTTGGACATGTATTATCCCCGATCGGACGGCGTGCGTAGGTACATGTGGATTGACGGTACCAATCTAAGAATAACATTTGTAACATATGGACGGTCGCGATGTTGCGCATCAGTTCGATTTTTGTAGGTCGGCGGCGTATCCGGAGCGGCCATTTGCCGGCTCCTGTTTGGCAAACCCGCGTAGCATTGAGACAATCGACATCGTACATTTGTGGCCATCTGGACCCTCCATGCGGCACTCCACGATTCGTTAGGGGAGGGCATCCATCTGGCATAAAGCGTTGTTACACGTGGAGATATTATGCTGACGTGGAATAGTGGCTTCATGTATGCTCGGATGCAGCTATGTGGCAACGCACAGGTGTAACCGTGGAGTGTCACAGCAGTGACGCAAATGTCATCGACGAACATATGACGTAAAAGCGACCCCCATGACGCTGTCCGTGTTGCGGCAATGTTGCGGGAACCGTTGCAACAAAGCTGCGGGAAAGTTGCGGGAAAGCAACTTTCCCCGTAACCCCGACCCAGAAGCGTTTGACCTAGACTTTTTTCTTGCGAAACCAAAGTTGCGGGAAAGCAACTTTGAAGCTGCAAAGCCGCAGCTTTTCCGGCCTTAGACTTTCGCGATGTGGGGTGTTAGTGCTCCTGGAGACCACTAGTAACGTGGCGCTTGACTTAAGTGTGCTACAACTCCTAATGGCACACGTGCGCGGAGCGTGTATTACGGACCAGGAAAACTTGTGGCGTCGAACAAGCGGGCTGCACCTGCCATGGAAGAAACTAAACGAATATCGAGAATGTGATTACAAGAACTGACGGAATGTTATAGGGAGGATTCCTAGGCTCGGAAAGCTGGCAAGGTATGCGATGGCGCCTCGGGAGTGGTTCGGGGCGAAAGTGTAGGTTGATTTGGAGCAAACTTGAGTCTCGAAATACCCTCGCTGGAATGTAATTCCTTACGGTGCTCTTAAGGGCGCAACCAGATTTAAAATACATTTAGCCTTTTCTTCTATAGTTATATTTTGTCACTAAAATTGAAACAAATAAAGTAACAACAGACTACAGCTACAGCCACAGGGAGGGATTCCATGGCACTAATGAATGACAATGACTCTCCGCCTGAGACCGCCATGGCTGCCACCTGGATCTTCGGAGCTACCAATGTCGGTGCTCCAGAGTGTTACAGATGCTAATAACTAGATTGTGAAAGCTTGCTTTCTACAACTTGTAAAGGCATCGTGCTTCATTTCATATGGGTGAGGCCGAATGGCCTCAACCCCCTCTTTTGTAGCCAAAAGAGGGCGAGTAGCGATGCGACGCTGCCTTTGCTGCGTTGGAAATCGCTACACTTTCACAATACACAAATTTTGAAAAGTGTTACACACTTTTAAAAAATTACATATATCGAGCATCACCTTTCTACGAGGAACACGTCGATATAACTTTGGTGTCCATACGGAGGACATTGTTTCGAGGTTTCCTAAGGCATTATCTCGTTTGGTTCCGGCATCTAACACCTATGTTGACTCCCTGGGTTATGTGCTGGTCGTTGAGTCAGCGCGCTGTCTTCAAGGCTTTATTATTGTCAACAACCACTACAACGCGATTCCGTTTCCAATGAAAATACCAAGACATGACTTCCAGGCTTCATAAGCTCGCTCCAGAGGTGCCCATGGAGTTTGTTTCTCAAGCACTCTGCTAGCTGTGGTGGCTTTTTCATCATCACGCCATGCCTCCAAGAGCGAGGCATGTTAAGCCTGTTCACAAGATGGACACTGCTGCTGCTGCCACTGCTGCTACTACGCTTAAGACTCCCACTGCGGGTCCCTCCGCTCGTCCAACTTCGGCTACTGCTGTTCCGTCGAAGTCTCACGCACTCTGTTCGTGGAGGATTACTCGGAGTCATTGACACTGTCAGCCAAGCTGGCGGCTTTCCGGATCGAGCAAGCTGCTAGGGGGAAGATGGACAATGGCAAAGGAAAAGATGCGGTCTTTAAGGATGCAGTTTCTGACGCGGAAGAAGAAACTGCTGCGGACGAGGAAGACAGGGACTCCTCTGTGTCAGAATCAACAAGAGTGAAATGCACTAGGAAAGGGGTGGGTACAAGTAGGAAAACCTAAAACTGTTGTACCCCATAGGAACTACCCCACTACAGCCTAAACAGACTATAGTATATAAGTTTGACACACTGTTTGATATAAGTTTGACTATAGTATATAAGTTAGGCAAAGTGGGGGAGAGCAAAGGGTCACAAGACCAGTCAATAAAGCAAAGCAAGCCCAGGGTGGATCACAACGTCACCACGCATTCTGAGCACAAACAAAAGACCACAAGGCCAGTTCACATGCAGAGTTATACAACAGTGATCAAAACCTAGCAAGTGAAAGCATGCAGGGTATAGATATATAGATCACAGTACAGGCAAAGTCAAGAAGTGAGCAAGTGAGGCAAGGTAGGCACAAGGCCTAGAACAGTACAGAAACGCTGATGATCACAAGGCGGAAGTGTCTTGGTGAAGATATCAGCAGTGTTGGCCCGAGAGGCCACGTAAGCAAGACGAAGCTGACCGCGCTGCTGCAACTCTCGAGCAAGAAAGTAGCGAAGGGCAATGTGCTTCGTTCTGTGCTCCAGTCTGTGCTCTTGACACAAGGCCAGCATGGCCTTGTTGTCGACGTACAGAACTGGAGGAGAACGAGAAACCTCTCCCAAGTCGGTTAGCAGGTAGGTGAGCCAGCATAACTCCTGTGCAGCCATGGCCCCTGCGTAGATCTCAGCCTCACAGCTGGAGCTGAGAACAGAAGACGAGCGGGTAGACCGCCACGAAACAGAGCCGGAGCCAAGGCTGAAGGTGTAACCCTGTGACGACCGCTGCGTAGCCAAGTCGTCAACCCAAGAAGCGTCTGCGTGACCAGTGAGGACAACTCGAGCCCGTCCTCCAAGCACTAGCCCCATGCCCGACGTACTGCACAGGTAGCGCAACACCCTCTTTCGCTGCAGCCATGTGCTCTGGTCGGTGTCTCCCAGGAGCAACATAGTGCGCCAAGATGCTAAGAGGGTATGCCAAGTCAGGTCGAGTGCAGGTCATCAGGTACATGAGGCAGCCAACAAGCTCTGGGTACGGGCCACTCGGCTCTACGGACTCATCCGAAGGCAGAGCTGAGAGCGAGTGGCGAGTAGACAGAGGAGTGGCCTGAGGCGAGGAGTACGTGAAGTTGAAGCGCTGAAGGACCTGCTGCACCATGTGTGACTGAGTCAAGGTAATGGTGCGCCGTGCTCTGTCCCGGGTGATCTGCAAGCCAAGATAGCTGCGCAGTTCACCCAGGTCTTTTTTTTTTTTTTTTTTTTTTTTTTTAAGGATGCATTACACTTATAAAGTGGGTACATCCATAGTCGTAACTGTAAGGGGGAAGGGAACAGGCAGACAAGAGGTCTACACCGCCCTTCCTTGACAGACTAAGGTGGGTGGAAGATAGTTCTCGGGTTGGCCCACACCGATTTGAACTCCTCCTTCCATGTCAGCGTGTCCTCGTCATGAAATATCCGGCTCAGCAGCGTAGCCTCGTCCCTCGCCAGATGGGGCCAGCTCTGCCCCGCCCCACTTGCCTCTTTTTCCACCACTTGTTTCTTGCAGTCACTGTAGATTCTGACGTGTTTCATGAAGTTCACACCGATCTTCCTGAGGACTCTCCGCGGTTGGAATTTGTCATGCCAGAAAGCTGCATCGCACCGTTCGAGCCATATCTGATGGAATGCCACCGCAATCAACGGTTTTTCTAGGAAACCTGACGACGTGCCATCTGCAGCGAACAAAAAATCCTCTAGCTTTTCCACCTCCCTTGCCGGGTTCATCTGCTTCAATGCCCCCTTAAGCGCGCCGATGACAGGCTGTATGCTGGCACATTCCAGCAAACAGTGCCCT